GCGCTTCGAGGAGCTGCTGGCCTTCGTGCCCTACATGCACCGCTTCCTCAGCAAGAAGAGGATCCGCCACCGCATCTTCGTGCTCAACCAGGTGGATCACTTCAGGTACGGCCCCGTGGCGCCTCCAAAACCCACGGGCGCGAGTAGCCCCCTCTCCCAAACGGTCCGTGCTGAGAGCGGACGGGGTCTCCCGCTTGCCCCTTTCGGCGTTGGGGAGTTCTTGGCAGTGAGGGGAGCGGTCGGGGCTGGAGCGTGACGGGTCGGATTCGTCTCGCCTGCCTTTAGCCTCACTACGCTTTGCCTGCTTTTTAGTAGCTAAAGTGGTGCAAAGTTTTCCAGGAGACAAGTTCATAGAAGGACAAGGTGGTATTTTATTTCTCTCTTGGCGGCCCATCGCAAGCAAGAAGATAATTATTCCTCCGCGGATATTTCAGCTTTCTCCCCAGCGTTGCAAGGCCGTAGCAGCAAACGTTTGGGGAAGCTGAAATTCAAAGACCTCCCTTGGGATGTTCAAAAATGATGTTTCCAACAGCTCTAGGTGGCCCCGCGTTCGCTGCTCTGTGCCTACCCGCAAGCCGTGCCTGTGCCGAGGAGCTCCCCAGCCTGCCTCGCACAGGACGGGGTATTTTGCTGGGACTCCTTCCAGCGTGTTGTCCCAACAGGCCAAGTCTGAGTCCTTGTATTTTGCACTCCTCCAGCCTTCCTCCACTCACCGAACAGGTCACTTGCTTTAACCCCGTTCTGTTTGCAGCGGCCGAACCCGTTGCGCTAAGCGCGTGCTGCATGGATAGCCCTGTGCAGGGGGGCAGCTTTGGGCGGGCAGCTGAAGCACCCGGGGCTGGGAAGCCGTTGAACGCCATTTTTGTGTGTGTGCACAAAGGGGCTTGGTGGTGACAGTCACTCTTTGGGGCCTGGCTGAACTTTTTAGTGTCGTGGGGCATGGGAGATGGGGGCGAAGGGGCAGCAGCTGCTGTGCCTGGCGCTGGGAGTCCCTGGTCCCTTGGCAGATTTAACAGAGCGTCTCTGATCAACGTGGGCTTCCTGGAGAGCGGCAACGACACCGACTACATTGCAATGCACGACGTTGATCTCTTGCCCCTCAACGAGCAGCTGGACTACAGCTTCCCAGAGGCAGGGCCCTTCCATGTCGCCTCCCCAGAGCTGCATCCGCTGTACCACTATAAAACCTACGTGGGCGGCATCCTGCTGCTCACCAAGCAGCACTATGAGATGGTGAGCACGGGGGTGGGACGTCCCAGTCAGTTTGGGGCTGGGTGTGTGACAGTATCTTGGTGCACGGTCACACGCATTGCGCTCCACCCGTGGGAAGTGGGGAAAGGAGTCTAATGCTCTGGGGGCAGAGCCTGCAGTCTGAGCTGGTAGGGACAGGAGAGGTGAGGCCGTGCTCAGGCTCAGGGGTTGCAGCGCTGGTGTCTGCCTCTCCGTGGCGGGTGGGTTGTGCTGCGGCTGCAGCTGGAGAGCAGGACCTTGGCTGGTACAGCACCCCTCTCGTTTCAGTGCAATGGCATGTCCAACCGCTTCTGGGGCTGGGGACGGGAAGACGATGAGTTTTATCGCCGCATCAAAGGAGCCGGTCTCCAGGTAAGGAGTGCTCCGTGGCCTCAACGGTTGGAATCGCCCTTCTCGTCTCTCCAGTTGACTCCCTGCTGCAGCCATCAAGGCTGGTGCCTGGGGGAGGCAGCCCCTCTGCACCCTCTACACCAGCAGTAGATACAGCAGGCTAGGGCAAGTTTTCCAGTAGCTTTACAGAAGCTTGGCTCTCCTTCCAGGTTCGCCGTCCCTCTGGAATCACAACTGGATATGAGACTTTCCAGCACTTGCATGACCCGGCCTGGAGGAAGAGGGACCAGAAGCGCATTGCTGCACAGAAGCAGGTGAGACCTCTGTGTGATCAGGAGAAACTATGAGAGTTCTAGTCACCATGTGCTGTGAGCCCCCCTTGCTGATGTCTTTCCCTGCCAGCTCCTGTGCTCCCTTCCCACGCACCGGAGGGAAGCCAGTGAGGGCTGAACGCTCTTTCTCTTCCTCAGGAGCAGTTTAAGGTGGATCGGGACGGAGGTCTGAACAACGTGAGGTACCGAATTGAGTCACGGACAGATCTGAGTGTGGCAGGAGCCCCCTGCACTGTCCTCAATATATTACTGGACTGTGACACAAGCGAGACCCCTTGGTGCACGTTTGGCTGAGCAGCCTGCCCCATGTGCCAGTCACGTGCGCTGTGCTTGTGCTGAGACGCCAGGGCTGCCGCCAAGCTGCTTGACGCAGGCAGGATTTTTGCAGTAGGCAAGCATAGAGGTGCTGGCAGGACGCAGAGGAACAGAAAGGGCTGAGAACCAATCCTTGACGGGACCAAGAGAGCAGGCAGAGAGTGGGACTCCATGGCGTTGCTGCAAACAGTGGTGCTGCCTCCTGGGGCAGGTGCAGGAGGCTGTTTCCCTGCACTGGACAAGGCTGAGCTGCCACCCAGCTCTGAGGACAATAAAGAACTGTCAGGGCATCTGCGAGTTGTGAATGCCCTGGGACATGCTGCGCCACTCGTTCCTTCTGTTCCTTTCTCCTCACTGGCTTCAGCGCACCCATTTCTGCCTTGACCCTGGCTGCCCTCTCTGTGGACAGGCCGTCTGCTCTGGTTGTGAGGCCAAGCTGGGTGCCTGTGTTTCAGCTGCCAGGTGTTCTCCAGGGCTGTGCTGTGGTGCAGGAGGTGGTTATGGTCAAGCTGTGCCCTGAGGCCCAGGGTCTGCATCTCTGGGTATCAGCAGGCGGGGGAGCGCAGGCTTTCTGTCCCTGTTTGTTCCTCCCTATGGAGCAAGGAGCGTTCAGGCTTAGCTGCTGCCCTGTCGCCACCGCTCGGCTGGGCTGGGCTGTCCTGCTGCCTGGGCTGGCACCAGGCGCCTCTCATTTCCTGGCCCCCTTCTGTCCTCGTCCCACAGCCTGGCTCTTCCCCGGAGCTGTTGTGTTGCTGGGCGCCTGAAGACATCTCCAGACAGAAGCTGTTGTCATCCCAGGAAGCCGAGCGGCTTCCTGCCACCCGGCGATGGAGCTGCAGGGAAGGCGTCTCCAGGGAGGAAGGAGCCCTGGGACGAGGGAGCCAAAAGGGCTAGAGCCAAGCATGGGGCTGTGTAGGGGGAGCAGGATGCGGTGTCTTGATGGACCTGACCTCTGCTGCTCCGGGGTGGGTGAGGAGCCCAGAAGGCTGCTTCCCGAGGAAGGGGTTGAGGTGCTGGGGGGCCTGGTGCAGGGCGGCGAGGATTGAGCCATTCTCCTTTGTGCATGTGGGTCCTGTCCTTGCCCTGGGGCTGTGGGGGGCCGCACTGCCGGAGAGTTTCCAAGGGCCTCTCCACCCCAGCGGTGCAGAAGCTGGCTTGCCCACCCTCGTGGCTTGATCCCTTCTTGCTACCCAGCCCGCAACTCTGCCCTGCTCCTCTCTCCAGCACTTGAGTTTTGGGATCTGTCACCTGTCCATGCTTTACGCTCACCCTTTACCTGGTGCCTCAACTCCAGCCAGGGCAGCCAGAGGCAGTTCCAAGTATTTCTCTGCAAAATACAAAATAGATGAGACAGTTTCAGCAGGTTTCACAAAGATGTAGATGTGCAGAAACTGAGAACATATGTGCCCCTCGCGCTTCGCTCAGCGCTAAAGGCTCCTCTCCCGCTGCCTGGCAGCTATTTCTCAGCTCCGCTCACAGCCCCCTCATCCTCTGGTTGCTTTTGTGGAAGAGGCGCCTTGCTGGAGACCTCGCTTCCTTTTATAGCCCCGAGGTTGACTTGGAGGTCGCTCAGCTCCAGTCCACCCACGCACTTCTTTATTAGCGATGGCCCAGCGGGAGGGGGCTGAGGCTTTTCCCCATTGCGTCCCTGCAGAAGGGTAACACGCTGCCGCGGAGCTGCTGATGTCCTGGGAGCCCTGTGGAGCGGCACCAGGGGCCTCCTGGCTTTTCCAGGCTTGGTGGGGCTCTCGGCAAGAGGGAGGCTCAGCGTTCGAGACCTGCTCCAGGATGCTTGGAGGCAGAGAGCGATCGTGTAGCCCCAGCGTTGCCCCTCTGTGACCCCCCTTCTCGCACCCAAATTGCCGGTGGCGAGGCAGCGCGGGGGCTGCTGCAGTCGCACGCAGTCGGCTTGTCTTTTATTGGCGGGTTGTTTTGCCCCCGGCTGGTTCCCAAAGTGGTTTTACCGTGGCCGCGCAAATGGCTGCAGCATCACAGTGACGGGGAGCGCGCGGGGCTGGAGCCGAGCAGGGAGGCAGCAGGGGCCGGGGGAAAGTGGGACTTAACAAAGCGCTGACCAGCATGGCGTCTCCCCACTGAATC